ACCCTCGTTAAGTTAGCACCCCCACCACAATAAATTAAAATAAAACATATGCCAAAATTAAGTGCTATTTTGGTGCTAATTTGGTGCTGTATTCCTAATTTTAGTGCTCGAACCATTTAGCTGGAATTCGCGTTGTAAAGTGGAGGTGCTAGCTTTCGTGAAGCTAGCACCCCCATTATTAAATACTTGCACAAAATCAAAAAGTAAATATATCAGAATTAAGTGCTTTTTAAGTGCTTTTAAGAACAATTAACAAAATATAGTTATCTATTACAATTTAAAAGATATCAGCTAACAAGGACAGAATAGGTATAAGAATAAAGTACTTTAAAAAATCGAGATAAAGGATCGGTTCTGGCCTTGAAATATTTCCTGATTTTAGTGCTCACAAAATATATAAAATTAGATTTTGGTGCTCAGTCCTTGTCGCGAAAAATTCATACTTAAACTACCGAATGACTAAACTAACAAGAGTAAAGTACTTTAAAAAATCGAGATGAAGGATCGGTTAAAAGTTTACATAAAAGTTTACTACATGTAAAATATAATAATAATAAATTTTATCTGCAGAATGAATATTAAGTATAGAGATGGGTTTATATGATATGTATGTATGTATATATATATATATATATATATATATATATTTATATAGCTTATATAATAACATTTATACTGTTGCAATAATTATCAAAAATAAGATATATTACAGTAATGTACACGTGAAACACATCTATATATACATATATAGTACCGCGACGTAAATGATTAACACTCTTTTAAAAGAACAAAAGGAACTTTAATAATAACACAGAACACACAAATGAACAAGGAACACAGAACGGGTAATAACGGTAATCGTATCTCAAATATGTCCGCTCGGAATGACATCCGTCGCGAGACTCAAGATGGCCCATCTCTCCCTCAAGATGTCCGCCGTTGTTTAACAACAACGCTTAGCAACGTTCTCCCGGAGACGAATACAGCAGATTCATGAATAACCGCCTTAGACAACCCGCAGGGACGCAACACTATATACATACATATATATACACCTTTTAAAATGGCTAAAGTTATGCTTTCCGCACACATAGACTTATTGTTAGTCAAAAACTATAAACTTTGCTTTTTGGAGGCTTTTTTCTGGCAATCGCACGTGTATAAATATATTATAGACTCTTGTAAACAGAGATTTTCTCTTAATCAAACTCTTCTCTTTATTAAATTTCTATTATTTCTATCTGCTGATAATGCAATTGCTTCTATGTGTAAGATCCCACAGGGGGAAACCCATCGAGATGGGTCTCGAGCCAAGAGATAAAATCCCTCGTGAGCGTCACTTTGAACGTTCAGCTTGAAACGCTTGTTGCATAGTAGAATAATCTAAGGGTCTATAAATGCAAAATCGGACATTAGAATTAAAAGTAGAACGAATATTATATGCTCCGTACAATGAATAACGAGAAACTATGACAATTATGCATTATGCCTTGTGAAAGAGTATAAAAAAATGTGTAATTTAATTTAAACAGTATATAATAAGATTGTTTATATACATCATGTTATATTTAGTTTACACGTTATTGCACGTGTCTAAAGACAAAGTTACGTCTGGATGAGCATCGGCATTATTGGGTTAAAAAAATAGCGTTCGTATAAAAAAATCGTCACAGTTAAGTTAACAAAGCAATTATGCATGAAGTTGATATCGAACAATTTACATTGAGTGTCTCTTATTTAAATATTCGTAATCTTAAAAATGCATTAAAGTAAATGTAATGCAATAAAAGTTAATAATTCGTGAAATATCGTAAGTGTTCGAAATATTTTTATTTTTCAACTTACATGATTTTAATAAGAAGTTCCTATATTAAGATTGATTTGATCAATATATTAAGTTTCTCCTTCAAATTCATCAATTATTCGTTCAACAAAATTCAACTCCTCTTTTTCAAAATCATCAATCCCCTCGTACTCGGAAGTCTGCTCGGAGATTGATATCGTTTTTATCTCTTCGCACACGTCCTGCGCTTCACTTTTTTCTGTTTCATCCGCGGTGGATAATTCATCTTGCCTCTTCAGAAATTGCTCTACATCAGCTTTCAATCCTTCCCCCGGAAGGACATCGTT